GCAAGGCATACTACCGCAAAATTTCAGTTTCTTGTCTTTTACGGTTTCCGAAATAATAATTTCTCCGCCAAAATTTTCACGGGACCGTAGGTGATACTTCAGAGTGCGGGAACGCTGAATTTGAATTTGCAAGGTCTTAAGTAGGCATGGGATCAGTGTTCAAAAATTTTAGTTTCCTAGATAACAATTCCCCCGCCAAAAATTTTACGGGGCCATACGTCTCATCCAGGGAGAGGTTGAATTTAAATTTGCGGGGTCACAAGTGGGTGGGGAACACTGCCCTAAATTTTCAGCTTCCTAATTTTCGTGATTCTCGAACTGAAAGTTGCGGACCAATTGCTGCGGACACACAGAGACAACCCCGTGACAATGTGCGTTTTGTGCAGGTGTTGCACAGCGCATAACGCGTCCTATTTTGGGTTTTTGTTAGTCCTCTTATAAAGTTCAATGTTCGGTCTCGTTTGCAAATAGAGATAACTGCTTTACATAAGACATGAAATCAGGTAAAGCGGTCAACGCAGACTCTCTTTGATCGTTGCTTACACTTTCTGCAGGCAAACAATGCACGCTGACAACACATCGGATGCACTAAATATTCCTTTAGGCCTTTCAACAGATCTTCTGCTCACTCCAACACGCCATTCAGAAAGCACTCAAAACAAGCTAAGAAAACTCAAAATATCCAAAGACACAAGACAGCTGATTGCCCAAATAATTCCATGCAAAGAAGCTCTAGTATGTGCTTCGGCACATTTGCGGCTAAATAATGCTCGGTACTATGGGACTATAAAATGCACAGCCACTCTTCACGCACACAGCATAAAGGACTTACGATTTGGTGTAAAATTTGTGAAGTCAATTTGTGGACAGAACAAAGAAAACAAAGAACCTGTTCTTCTTCGTAACAAAAATTGCTAGAGTTGGCTTAGAACTACTAAACTGCACTGGAAGGCGACTAAACTGTACATCCAAGCTGGGGCATTGCTTTATGAACGATGTGTCACAGAGCCCCATAAGAGTTCCCTCTTAACGAGGGAAAATGGCGCTGTCTCATGAATAGAGAGTCATCTGGTATATTATGAAAGACGAGATAGCATGGTGAGCGTGATGCTATGCAGCACAAATTTCGAGCCCAACATAGGCATTTAACGTGAAAAAAAGAT